CCCCCCCCCCCCCCCCCCCCCCCCCAGATCATATGCCTATGCAGATCTGGAACTACATAATTATGTAAAATGCAAAGGAAGGGTATGAGGAGGCATATGTTAAAAAAATATTGTCAACTGAATTTGACAACTTTCCTCCACATTTTAATAGTCCCATAATGAGTCCTGCCAAGAGAATTAGAATATTATCTACTGTTTGTGAATTGCCAGAAAGCTAGGGTGAGCTTCAGCTCTTCTTTTCTCCAAGTATAATATTGTCAACTCTTGAACTACGGTATACGTTTCTTTGGATTTCTCACATACGGTATTTTATGCCGGATTGCCACGTACGCAAGTTCATTCTTTGTATTGTGTGCTTCCATGTTTCGGGTGCAAGGCCACAGTTTAAGCCTACATTAAGTTTTATTTTAGAACTATCTTGTTCCCAGCTTGTACTGTTGGTATGATTTCTTGTCTGTATTCCAGTGGAAGATACTTTTCAACTAGTGAGTACAGTGACTGATTGTCTGTTATGAAGCCTTGCCTGAAAAACAAAGGGAAATAACACTAACTCAAGAGTCACTAAACCTGTTCTCACACCATGAACTCTCGTCTTTGATGGTGGTGGTGAAGTAACCTTTCCCACCAGTTAGAAGTTTTGCTTTAAGTTCTGATAAGTTTCTTTTTCTGGGCACAATGACAGGCAGACTTACATCACATCTTTCAAACCCAAAGGAACTTGCCTCCGGTCACATTACTCTACAGAAACCAGGGAACCAATGAACTGCTTGGCCACTCCAATTCATTTAGATTCCAACAGACTTTACATGTAACCTTTACTAAGCTAACAAAATGTTTATATATAGGCCACCTGTAGGCATGCAGGCACACATCTAGGATAATGAAAGTCAATGTTGCAGACATACGGTTCTAATGCAAACCTTTTCATGAGGAGTTCCACATCAGCAAGTTCAATAGTTGTTCTATGAGCGTGCCGACAGTAGGCCATTAAGTCACCAGACACTTGTTTAAAAAACAGGTTTGACCTGTAAAACAATTTTATAGTTGGAAAATTAAAGTTGTTTTAAAACATATTTTTGTAAGTACAAAAGGGTGGGCAATCTGTACAACTCAATTAGTAGGAAAATTATAGCAGTAAGAGGTTCATCAATTTATGCAAGGTCTTGCTGTATGTTACTTGACAAAGAAAATTCCCTGTGTTTCCATGCAACTACCTGAAGCATTGAATGCCTTAAATTCACTGTTGTATACTTCTTACCAAAACACAAATCCCTAGACTATTCATGCAGTGGCACCACCGTATTTCTCTATTTGCTGTCAATATTTAATAATAACATTGGAAAACTAAATTACCAAACATGTCATTACCCATTTTCAACAACTTGAAGAGCTTCTTTAGACAGCTTTGCTTTGGAGAAATGCTGGAAAATACTCTTCACCAGAGCAGATGGCATTCTTGGTCCAGATGGCTTCCTGTTAAGTATTGCCAGTGGTTACAAGGGTTATATAAGCAATAGCCTCCATTTGGCAAGAAAACATGCTTGGATATTTGTCCACAGACATTATCTGTTCTGAGAAGCGAACAGTTTTCTGAGAGAATAGCTCGAGGTTAACTGTGAGCTTTGAGGAACAGATAATGTCCAAGGACAAATATCCAAGCATATTTTCAAGGTCAAATGGAGGCTATTGTGTTAATTATCCTACAAATATTTATCGCAACACGTACAGTTTTGAAAATTGGGGAATATTCTCAGATATTCCCGTTTCAACTGGGGAATATTCGGTCATGTGATGTATTTAGACCAATATTTGATGGATTATAACAAAGAATATCCACTTAAAAAAATACAAAATCTCTAATTCAAACAAGACTGGTTTATGAGATGGTTGAAGTACTCCCTCTCCCATCTCCCACTCTGGGGCAAGAATGAGTTTGCAAGAATTGTGTGAACCTGAACTTTAGGTATATTATTTCTGCATCATCAAACCCACTTCTTCAAATGTTAAATAGCCTCACAATGTGACAACATTAGAGGACCTTAGTGAGCCTCTGCCATTTTCAATGCCATCAAAATATATATTGATATTGCATGGTGAAGCAAAATGTTATAATATTGCTTTACTGTATGTTGTGTTCCTGAAAGCATATTTACTGTGACGATACTCCAACCATGAACACTTACCGTAATATTTTTTTTTGAACACTTTTTTAGAGACCATAGAATATGGGCACTCCTTTGTAACCAGAGTATTTCATGTTTTTACACTTTAAAAATGCTAACATTATACATTATATGAAGAGGCTTTATTCTATGGTCATTGAAAAATGTAAAAAAATTGTCAAGTATTCATGGTTCAAGTGTCCTTACTTATACTATTATTATCTTTTAGTAGTTTCACAGAGATTTCCTTTGTGTCAACAAGCTCCGAATAAAATATAGTAGCCAAACACTCGCATGTAAACAAAAACAAAGGTGTGGCTAACTAGGGCCCTTTAAGTAGCCTTTTCTCTTTCTTTCACAAAATTAAGGCAAGAATATACTTCTGATAATGTGACTCGTGATTACATAGTATTGCACAAACCTGGCTTAGCTATATATTATCATGGTGCAAATTACTAAAAATATATAATATCTTTCATATTATGGTTACCAGTTAGTGTAGATAATTTATTCAACAATCACAAAATTTATTACTCAAATAAAACTATTATTAATTACACTGCTAAAATAAATGGCTATAATGAAAAAACATGTTACACTTACTTTGAACTCCTTGCTCCAGCCTTTCCTGTAGGAGGCTTTCCTCCAAAGAATGGTCTTTCACCAACAGATCTACATAGTAAAATTATAAACACTCCATTCTTATTTGAAATGTTATTAGTACTATTGTCAAAAGTAGCCAGCTTATGACGAAAACCAACATCTCTTCGTGATTTCAGCTGTTTGCTCTGGTGATCATCTGAATTATGATGGAAATGTACATGTACACCACCCACGCCAACAACAAATGCAAAAATATTGTTCAGGTCTCAAATAAATTTCAGGACAATACAGTAAACACCCACATATAAGGACCTATGATTTCAGGGTTCAGGCTGATCTACATGTCGTTCTTATTTACCGAGTGCTTAGTGAGAAATCAGCCTGAAAGTGTTCTTAAAATTTGTTTCAGAAATACTATTTAAGAAATAGAAAACATGTACCGTGTTTCTATCGAGTTATAGAAACACAAGTTGAAGTTTGGAAGAATGAGAAATGCTGTGGGAAAACGAGCTGCAGCTTTTTCGAGGTCTCCCAAACTTTTCACGAGTGTTTCTATTAAACAATTAGACTATGAGCTCGAGATTTCTAGTTGATAGTTGACGAGGGCGCAGCCGGAGTCAACTATCACGCGATAGAAATCGAGGGCAAATAATCTAATTGTTTTAGTATAAATCTACTAGTCATTCAAAACTTTATCTAAATCCCCTTCACAGACACTTCAAAAATGAAAAGAAGCAACCGTCATTTTGTTGACTAGGGCACACTGCTATGCTACTCGCTATCTATCACAGAATAGATAGTGAGTAATGTAGCCAATCAGAGAACGGCATTCGTTATAGAACACTAGTAGATTTACATGTATGCTAACACTCAATAGAAACATGGAGAACATGTTTTCTATTTCTTTTAGAAAACACCGCGACGAAAAAAAGGAAAACAACTTGTTAACTTTGATTATCAAA